TTTCTTTTAAAGTTACCAACTCATATGAATACATTTACTACCAAAATAAAACCTAAAAAATAAAATCGCTAATATTATAGACCTTTTATGATTCTTTTTGTATTAGACATACCGTATGTTAACAATAAAATCGTATTTAGACTCCTTGTCTGTTGTTCCCTAGTTTCAAATTACTCCCTCGTTTTATCCTTTTTTTTTTTTTAATTCATACTATTAAATATCGATATCACAATCTAATGGGATCAACGAAATTCCCGCCTATTACTAATTCTTAGAACAGTAATTAGTAAATAATTAATAACGATAACGATAAACATGACTTCCTGCCTAAAATCATTTATTATTATGTATTTAATTATTTTATTGTTTTGATAAATATTTTATTTAATCAAGAGTAATTATTATATAGATTAAGTTTTATAATTTCGTAATTAGAAGATAAATTAGAAAATTATAGAACTTTGACTTGCAGAAATTTACCATTAAAATAAAAATGGATAATATATGATCAGTGGCTTACTCATAAAGATTATTAATAATTATGTTTAAATATCTAGTATTTAATTTTTATTATATTACTTTGTAATAAAAAAAGTTTTATAAAATATTAAATTTTTCTAATACATGTATACTATTGAAATCATTTTTGCGTGTTCCGACACTGTTTGTTAAATTTTAACATATCAGTAATTTGTTGATCGCAGATTCATTTTATACTCATTGTTATAGCTCAAAAGATATGGCATCAATGAGGCTGATTTGTCACTGTTTGATTATGCACCATAGGATTTGTCAAATTACGAATTCTTCTCCTCCATTCAAGGTCGTTCATCTTTCACTCAACTATCATTATCGTTATTTTTTTATCCAGTCAACCCATGTTATTCTTATAAGTGACAAGGTGACCCAAAAATAGAAGATAAATAAATTTTATACAACAACATTTTCGAAGATTTAATTTATCAATTTTAAATGAGATAAAGAATACGATGATGTGCTACACGCAAAGAATTCAATGTTACTATATGTAGGAATCTAATTGGCTGCAGTCATAAATAAATGCATGTGTTCATTGTGTGCAGATACACACACAAGAAAACGACCGAATGAGAACAAATTCGTGTGCATTACATTGTGCACTTGCTAAAGAAAATAACAAATAACGATAGTACTGATACTAATGAAAAAATGCCAAATCAAGAAAAACGTGCAATCCTCGGTGTACACAAAATTAAATTAATGCAAACATTCCAATAACGTACGTGAAGATTTAAGAATGTGAACTGAATGGTTTTTCCTTTTTCTTTTGCTTAATTTCCGTCGTCGCCCGTCACTTTTACCTTCTTTACCATAATTTCCGTTTTCCTTAGTTAGAACAGATAGTTCGCCTATTCTTTTTGCTAAACGAAGAATTTGTGCGTTCTCTCTTTCTTTCTTTTCCACATTATCTCTAAATCTCCGCTTTTCCTCTCTCTCTCTCTCTCTCTCGCCGCCTCTCACATAATATCTACCTACCCACCCCTTCTCTTGGACTTTTCCACCTGAAAACACGCATATACACTATACATACACTTTTTAGTTTTCTTTTTTTAGTCGGTCAATGTTAATAATTCATAGAAGCCCGTGTCATTTTTTTTTTTGAGTGTTAATACTGACTATTACTATTACATCTCGGAAAAATTGTTCGGGTCGTCGGCGGGTTTATTATAATTTACCATATTATATTATATCATAGACTGTATATAATTTATTATTTTTTTGACTTTGGTGTATAAAAAATAATTATTTAATCTAATAATAATATTACTCATCATATACGTGAGAGTATTCGTCATCAAAAACAGAAGAACCATTTTCATCACCAAATTTAAAGATGTCCAAACCAGCTGCTACTGCTGGCTCTCCCGCAGCAAGCGCTGCACCTGCTCCTTCTAGTGGCGCTTCATCATCATCATCGTCAGCATCTTCAGGAGGTCAATCTGATAGTTCTAGTAATACCTCGTCTACTTCGTCCAACAACAATAACAACGCTGCTCCAGCTGCTAATACACCATCATCTTCGCCGAGCAATACCAATAGTAACAGCAATAACAATAACAGTAACAGCAACAGCAGCAGCAACAATAACAACAGCAGCAACAATAATAATAACAGCAGCAATAATAACAGCAATAACAGCAATAACAACAACAACAACAGCAGCAACAACAACAACAACAATAATAACAGCAACAACAACAATAGCAACAACAACAACAACAACAACAACAACAATAGTTCTAAAGCAGCTCCCGCTCCACCCACACAAGCTGCTTCTCAAACTGCTGCTCCATCATCTTCCTCTACTTCATCTAATAATAACAGCAGCAATAATAACAATAATAATAATAATAATAATAATAATAACGCTAGCGACAACAGTAACAACTCACCAACAAATGCTCCATCAGCAAGCAGCCCAACTGGAACTTCTCTCCCTTCATTATCCATAATCCCCACTATTAGTGTGACAAGCGCAGCGAGTCCCTCATCACCCACTGCAAGTGCCACTCAATCGAGTGTTGATCCAACGTCAACTGATGGTGGCAGTGGTAGTGGAAGTGATAGTGGCGGCATGTCAGCAGGTGTAATGATTACCGGGATGATGGCTGCCACCTTAGCTATCGTTGTCTTTATCACCTTTATTGTTCGTCGAAAGATGAATGTACTCCGAACTTCTAGACGTACATCTCAAAAACTTTACGATACCGAATGTAATGATATTTTTGCAGTTGGTCAACCTACTTATTACGAAGAAAAACATGGATTCAATACGCGTGGATCGATAATTAAAGGGCCTAATAATAATAATTTTAACCAGATTAACCGACCAGATTCTATTTTCGTGGATCCAGGACATTTAAACGCCAACCATAATACCAATACCGGTAATAGAGTGAGTTTCGCTCCGGTGTCAGGTCAACGTCTGAGTATCTATAGACAAAGCACAGGTGCCATGTACGAACCTCCGGTTTCTTTGATGCCAGTAAATGGAAATTTTATTCCACCGTCACCTGTAGGTAATAATAACAATGGTTATTATACGGATTATAATGAATATGGTCAACAATATCCTCAACAACAACAACAACAACAACAACAGTATATACCTGAATCAAATTATACTGCTAATCATCCGATACAAAGATCTCCTACTTATCTTCAAAATCATAGTTCTCCATATGAAAATAAAGGACCTTCACCATCACCACCACCACCTGGTCATTACTAGTGCACCTCGTTGACCTATTCACCTTCCTAGATTTTTTATTCTCTCTTTTTCTCTTCTCCTCTTCCTCCTCAAGAAAAAAAAGGTAGAAACAAAATCCAAATTTGACGAAAAGGAACAACCTAAAAAATAGAAAAGCATGAAAATCAGAATCAGTCACCTGATTTTTTTTTATGCTAACTGATTCGCTCTTAGGATCATTAATCAAATGATAGATGAAGGGATCAGGACGATGATGAAATGACGATGAAACATTTGTCGATCAAATCTTAGCATCGTCAGTTTCGTGTGTGATATATCTATATCTCATTACTATAGAATAGAATGTTTTTATTTTGTAAATGTATGTATAACCTTTTTTGTCAAAAAAGTTCTCTATAAATATTAGATTTTGTTTTTATATACAAATTACTTCTTTCGACTGGCCTCGACTCGATTCCATTCGTCCCTTCTCTCTCCTCCATTTGCCCTTTTCGCTAAAAAAAAAAAGAAATATTCTCCTCTG